CGGCTTTGATATTTCAGGCTCTTCCATGCCTTGAGACGCGCATTCCAGGCCCGAAACCTTTGCCCTATAGTGGAGTCAATGGAGTTTGATGCCACCCAAACTCCAAGACCAAGGCACTTTGGCTTTTGTTGCCCATACGGGTTCCTTTCAGGTTCATGTAAGGGCTCCTTTAAGGGCAAGAGCTTTTCTAAAGGGATCATTGTGCGCGCATCCTGGACGTGTTTGGTAGAAATCATGTGCCGAGTTTTCGGTGGAACAAAGCCCCAATTTGAGCCCTGATTAATTTGGGCTTCAAAACCGAAAGGCCCAACCCTGAGCCCCCAAGCTATCTATCTAAATGTAAACAGGTACATAAATAAATATACGTATACATATATATATGTATATATATACATATGTATATACATATATACACGTAGACACGCATGTGTATATGTGTGATATATTAACGCCTGAAGCCAACAAGGCTGCATCATAACGTCGCCAGCCTGCCCGACGAGGCTCACTTCTTGTGTTTCAGTTTCGCATAGTTAGTTTGTAATGTAGGAACCTGATGAAGAAATCTTGGGCGTTTATTAGGGTTCCGTAATAGAGATCCTCCTATTCTGGGGTTATAGACGCAGGCTTTGCTAATCAGGTTCCTACATGAATAGAAACCAGAAAGCTGGAGCATCATTATCCTCATTCCCTTGAGGTAAAGTCTAGGGAATTCCAGCAGTTATCATCCTTAAAGCGTGTTCCAACTTTCTGTGGTTGCTTTAGACTTTCTGCGTTACTGAAGACTTTGAGGTTTACTCTGGCGCCTTTGAGGGTTGCTTTAAGGTTTACGATGAGGGTTGCAATGTCTATGGTTCAAGAAGGGTTTAGGGTTGAGGGAGGCGTCGGGGATACTATTGTTCACCTATGTTTTCGTGTTCGGAGCACAGAGGGTTGGGTGCTTGGGGTTCAACGGAGCTTTCAACCCAGAAGATTCACCTATGCCTCAGATTGTGAACAGGGGAACTTTCAACTTTTTGGCCTTATATATTAGCTCTATCTTAGAAAGTTTGAACTTTTTGGGGCCCGGTTGTTGAAGAAGAGAGATGCGGGCCTAGTCCTTCTGGCTGGGGTCAGCGGGCGGGACATCCGCAGCCTGCCCAGGCTAGCTTGGGATGTCAAGAGACACACATCGAGTCGCCAACTCCTTGCAGCGGGCAGATCTCTTGTGGGAGTTTCCGAAACTTAGGGGTACCTTATTTTGGGGTCCCTAAAATAAGGATCCTACTAATCAGGGTACTATATTAGGGTCCCCTACTTTCGGAAATTCCCATGTCGATAAGCGCTGGAGATGCGGGCAAGGCGACCTTTGCCACCTCGTCAGCTTTGGGGCGGACTTCGGTTTCGCGGGCGAAGTACAAGTAGCTTGGGACTCTGAGGGGGGCTATATGGGAACTATATTATAATGGCCTTAAAATAATTAGAATACGGTATTTTGAGGCCCATTATACTATAAGTATAACAAGGAGCCCCCAAAATAGTAGGGGCACTTATTACGGCCCTGATCTTTTTGGCATCAACTGCGGAAGTGGGAGGCCCACCCCCTGAGCCCTGCCCCCAGCCTTACACCTTAAAGCCCAAAGTCCTCGACTTAGGGGTACTTAGAAATGTTTGTTAATTTTTGGTTATTATAAATCCCTAACAAACAGCTATAATTATATAATTTTTGCTACTAAGTTCAGTATAGTAAACCTTACAGTAGAAGCCAGAAAGTTGGAATATCATTATCGTAACCCCTTTAAGGTAAATTATAGGGGATCCTACCATTAATCCATATTCCAAGTTTCTGGAGTTCCCTTTAAAGTGCAAAGTCCTAGAGGCGTCCTAAACCCTCGTCGCCCAAGGTTCCGGCCCGACCAATTCCGCTCCCCCAGCACAAAAATGGGAGTTTCCGAAAATTAGCGGTTCCTTTAAAGGGATCATTTAAGGGTTCCTTAAAGGGATATCTATGGGGGTTCTATAGACGGTTTAAGGTCTAGAGTTTCCGAAAATTTGGGGTACCTTATTCTGGGGTTCCTTATAATAAGGATCCTACTATTTAGGGTACTATATTAGGGTCCCCTATTTTCGGAAACTCCCAAATGATAAAGGGGGCTTAGAGAATTGCCTCTACTATTTTGGGGGGCATTTTGTTATACTTATAGTATAATGGGCCCCAAGACCCTATTGTCATTATTAAAGCCATATATTAAACAAACTCTAAACCTGACCTCGGGGAGCTGAAAAGCTCCTTGGAACGCTGAAGCGCCTCACCCCGAGACCTCCAAGAAGCCCTAAACCCCAAACCCAACCCTCCAACCCCTAAACCCGAAAGCATCACAAAGCCTTAAACCCCAAACCCAACCCCCCAACCCCTAAACCCGAAAGCATCACAAAGCCTTAAACCCCAAACCCAACCCCCTATACCCTAAACCCGGCACCGCAAAAAGCGTAAAACCCCTTGCATCAGAGGATGTCGTCCACGTCGGCAGACAGAGCCCTTCTGCCGAGATGGGTTTGACGTTGCGGCAACTGAAGGGTGCGCTCATTGGGTTCAGGGATTTAGGTTTACCTTAACCTACCCATATATATATATATATTATTTGTACATATACATATATATATATATATATATACATTGGAAAAGGTAGGTTTTGGTGGGTTAAGGTAGGGTTTGGGCCTTAGGCTTTGATGGTTTGGGGCTTCAGTGGTTTCGGGTTTAGTACTGTAGGGTTCGCGAGGCTGTGGGGTTTAGGATTGTTTTAGGGGTTTGGGGTTTATTGCTCAGGAGGGGTTTGGAGTTTAGGGTTTAGTTTTTAGGCTTTGGGGATTTCTCTTCATAGGGATCCTGCTTCTTTGCTGCTCCTCATTTGGTTTCGATGTTCCAAGCTGCGCAGGGAGATAGGTCTGGGGCGGGGCGTTAGAGCAGATGCTAACCCCACACCTCACATCCTATACTCCCCCCTATGCTTTTACACCAATTCTCTAACCACCTAATAAACCGACCTTCCTGATACAACCCAAACCAAAAGCACTACCTACATCCACCACCTTGCCACAATCCTGACCCACAAAAACCGAAAGCACCAGCTAACCCCACACCTCACATCCTATACTCCCCCCTACACTTTTACCTCATTTCTCAACCCACACCCCAAATCAACCTCGCCAAAACCCATATCACAAGCAAAACCGCCAAAACCCAAAGCACAAACCAAAACACAAAGCACTCCCCAACTCAGCACCAGACCCCAAAGCAAAAAACAAAATCAAAAGAACCTCCCTTCCCCCACATCTCAACCCTCCAAAACACCAAAACCCAAAGCACTCCCCAACTCAGCACCAAACCCCAAAGAAAAAAACAAAATCAAAAGAACCTCCCTTCCCCCACATCTCAACCCTCCAAAACACCAAAACCCAAAGCACTCCCCAACTCAGCACCAAACCCCAAAGCAAAAAACAAAATCAAAACAACCGACCTTACCCCGCACCTCACAACACACAACACCAAAAACCCATAAAGACATAACCCCCCAATACAGAAGCCAACCCCAAAAATCTTTATCCCTGAACCACGTTTAAATGCTACGTGCGGCTTCTCGGTGCTACAACTCAACAGCGGAAAAGGTCTGCCTGGCTTGTTTATCGGACCGCAACAGGAAGCTAGCCTTGCCCATCAGCGCATACAAGCTGGAAGCCCAGTTTCAGCGTTCGACTCGGACCGCAGACGAGCGGCTCAGTTCGCCATAGTAATTGATCTGACTTTGCTGCGTGCACCATGCGCGTTCTGAGCCATAGATTTGCTCGGATTTGTATTTGTGCCTTCGGTCATGTAATCTGCAGCCATGTCGTGTGGCCAGACGGCTTTGTGGCACGCATGAAAGCTCCTTCAAAGCCTCTGACCGTGCGAGGGTGTCAGGCAAAATCAGCGGAAGCATGGGAAGAGCTAGCGCAGCTAGCGGACGAACTGGCCAAAGAAAATGACCAAGACAGAAAGAAGCTGCTTCTGCGCGTCCTGGCTGCAGAGATGAAGGCGCAGACCCAGGCTGCGGAGATGAAGGCGCAGACCCAGGCTGCAGAGATGAAGGCGCAGACCCAGGCTGCGGAGATGAAGACCCAGGCTGCAGAGATGAAGGCGCAGACCCAGGCTGCAGAGATGAAGGCGCAGACCCAGGCTGCAGAGATGAAGGCGCAGACCCAGGCTGCAGAGATGAAGGTGCTGGAGGAGAAGATGAAGGCTGTGACCAAGGATCTTGCGGCCATAAAGGGGGAACTGACTGCCCGCGCCATGCTTGATCGCGCCGTGGGCAAAATCAGGCAGGAGGACTCGGCTTCTGGGAGCACATCGTCAATCCTACAACGGTTGTCGAATCACTCAGGCGATATGGCGAACTTCTTGAACCGTTCTGTTCAGGAGTGCACGCCTCCAGGCACCATTCCTGGCGTGTTCTTGATCACCCTCGGTGGTACGGACCTGGCATCAGAGCGAGCCGCTCCCTCAATGCAGCGCAGATCTGCGTTCTTCAGAAGCTCGCCCAACAGGAAGGCTTCTTGCTCATCACAGACGATGACGAGGATGACTCAGAGGACATCTGAAGCATTGAAGAGGCGATCGAGTGAAGTTCCGCGTTCAGGCGCAATAGCCCAAACGACATACAAGACTGCCCTGCAAGTGTCGCGTTGACACTGCCTGCGGCTGAGCCCTGATGTAAAAGACCGGAATGAGAGCGCGACCGAGGAAAATGGCAGTGTGATGTGCCAGCAGACTTGGGTGCAGTTTCGGCAGTGCTTCTCAGCTCTAAGCCCCTAAGCCCTAACCCCTTGCCCCAAAAAACGCCACTTAGCACCCCGCCAGGTCATCATCTACATCAACGGCACTCACGCAGACAACTTCGTGGCACGAGTGCGCCCTTAGGGTTTAGGGTTCCGTAGCCATTTTGGCTCAAGTGTCGTTGCCCTTCGTGTAGAAGGGTGCAGACTGGGCCATGGCTGATAACCACTATGATCATCTCCTAGATAACTGGAGCCGCCTTCGAAAGATCAGCGAGCATTTGAGCCCTCTTTTGACTGGAAGTACGGTGAATATCTTGGCCATTCCCTTTGATGAACCGGTCTTCCAACAGGAGCGGGTACTGGTCAGGGCCTACGTTGCTTCAGCTCAGGGTGCCGCACCGGAAGGGCAAGCCACCACCAAGGTCGTGCTTCTGCTTCGGGCAGGGGACTGGACAGCGGTATCGACTTGCTCAGGGCCCCTTCGTATCTTGCAAGCGACTCTGGGATGTGAGGATCAACAGCTAGTTCTGGATTGCACGGGAATACAGTCGGTCGTGGTTGCAACTTGTATGCTACGTAATGATACCAGCCTTGAGGTGGCAGAGATCTTCAGCGGGGGTTTTGCTGGCTGGACACAAGCGATCTACGTATTGCACCAGCAAGGGCTGCCCATTAGTACAGCCTGGACTCTGGACATTGACCCAGACTGCTCTGACATGCTCCGCTACCATCATGCATCCTGGAGTGAAGTGCACAACTTGGAGGGTCTCCGGGAGGTTCCGCAAGATGCGACAATGCATCTCTGCACCGACATCAATGCCAATTGGTGGCTTCGTGTGTTTCAGGATCGCCCTGTCAGTGTAGCCTGTGTGTCGGCGCCCTGCCAGCCGTGGTCAAGTGCAGGGTCTGAACAAGGACTGTTGTCAGAGGACGGCCGGCTGCTGCTTCGGGCGGCAGATATACTTGGCACATTCCAGGTTCCTTTTGTGCTTTTGGAGCAAGTTGCAAATTTCCCGCTTCACCCGCATTTCAGGACTGTAATGAAGGCTTGGGACCAGGCTGGCTACCGGATACAGTGGCAGGCCTCTCTTAATCTCCTTGACGTTCTGCCGGGGCAGAGGGTTCGGTTCTTTATAGTTTTCCAACATGCCTCGCACACGACCACAAAGTGTCTTGAGATGGGTGCCTGGACGACGAGCAAACGCATGAACCTGGGACAGGCTAAAGTCTTGTTCCCCCTGCCGCCATCACTACGTAGTGCCTGCACACCCAGCACAGACGTATTGGCAGAATACATGGACCCCTACTATGTGCCTAGCCCCCGCCAAGCGCACCTGCGCCCGCAAAGCCCGGCCCAATACCGCCTCCGCACTGCCCATGATGTTGCAGGTGTCTTTGTTGCGCAATACCAGTACCAGCACGAGCTGCCACCACTGCAGAAGCAGAAGGGCATACTTGGATGCCTTCTCCAGCAGGCGGGTTGCACCAGATTCTTCTCAGGACCTGAGATTGCTGCAATACATGGTGCCACGCTTCCCACGTTCCTGCATTCCGACCGGCGCACACAGATGCGCTTGCTGGGCAACGCGGTCGCTGTTCCGCAAGCAGTTGTACCTTTGATTCAAGCATGCTGCCGTTGGGGTGTCGCGGACACTCCAGAGCCGGCCGAGGCCGTTTCTTGGTGTCTGCAGTCCCGCCTGCATAGTCAGAACAGCGTGTTGATGCCCTTTGGGGAGGACTGGGTTCTTTGCCACCATTCACAGACTGAGCAGGTTCTGCAGGCACATGCTGCGCACAGCCCTTTGACGTTGCATGCAGAAGCACCGGATGCTTTCGTGCCGATTGCCTGCCAAGTCGGCTCCGCGACCTTCCGCGTACTTGCACCAACTGATGTGGACCTTCGGAGCCTCTTGTCTTTTGTCGGTTGCACGACCTCAACGGTCACCCAGGGTGCCACCACAGGCCTCACAGCTCCTGATGAAACGATTCGACTCCGCTCTCCACCGGAGCTCAACTGCAATGGAGTTATAGGCAGCACAGGCCCCCAATCCGGCTTCTCTCTGATACTTACGGAGACTGAGCTCGTCGTCACCGAGCTCCACACGCCCCGCTCGTGGTCGCAGCTGCTCAACGTTTTCCAGCAGCTGGCCCCGGGCCAAGCAGACCTTGCACTGTTCTCCACCACTGGCCAAAGACTTCATCGCACGGCCGAGTTTCAGACATGCATGATCGCAGTTGCAGAGGACCCCGAGGTCCCCATCTTCCCGCTCAGCACTTTGGTGCCCTGCCTGCATGGTCTTCAGCTCCGTCGTCAGGATGCCACGTTGCAGCTTGAGGTTGAGGCCGGCGTTGCTGCACACATGTGGCTTGCGATGCCCTTTCACCTGCTATATGCTTTGGGCTGGTCTTCGGAGGAGCTCGATTTTCCCCCGCCAAGGGATAGCACTGCCACCTTTGTCATGCGACCCAGCCGGCTGGTGGCAATGTCAGTTGATCTCCTTCACGAGCAGTGGCGCTAGTGGTTTGTTGTTGCCCGCCTTGAAGCGCTGGCAGACTCCTCCGGCACAGCACTGTTGCAGGTCGAGGTACAGGTTGTTGCCCGTAAGTTGTGGGAGGGCGTTTTGCCCGGCGGCATTGCACTTCAGCTCTTTTCGGACATCTGGAATGGCATCAGCAGACTGTGCAGTCTGCCATCGGGCCACCGGATCTTTTCTGGCCCGCACCCGCATGATCCGGCGACCACACTGCAAACTCTGCACCAGGCCCCGCGAACGTGTGTGATTCGCCGAACAGGCCACCTTGTGATCACCATCCACCCCGAAATCCGGGGGGGCGGCGTTAAGAGCGAGAATCTGAGCTGGGCACAAACCCGAGCCGCATCCGAATGCTTATCACAGGGTCTGGACCTCGGCAAAACGACCGCCTTCGTCGATAAGCTCTCCAATGCTGTTGGGGCTCAGCGTCTTTCGCAGACTCTACAGGATACCTCTTCGGGCTCAAAGTGGGCCGCTCTGACTGAGCTGGCCGCCTCTGCCAATGTTGCCGTGCCGTTGCTGTCTAACCTGCCTGCCAAGGCTGCTGCCCGTGCCACCAAACAGCAGCAGCGCCGCAAAGCCCAGGACCGCAGAACTGTCACTGCCGCGGAGGTGCAGCTCACCACCGACTTCTTCCTGAATGAGGACGGCTCTTGCACCTCTGTCCTCGATGCCATCCAACCAGGAGTTTCAGGCATTAAGCTCGTTGATGAACCCGAGGCCGCTGCCCTACTGCAGGCCCTGCGTGGAGTCCAGCCGGACGAGCTTGGCCTCCTCGTACTAGGGCACTCCTGCCCCAACCCCGCTGAATGCAATGGTCACATGTGTTTCCCAGCTACCTCCAAAGAAACCGGTGCACGCCTCTTGCTCGCCGGCTGCCTCCACAATGTTGGTGGACGTCGCAACAAGGTCCGTGAGTCCAATGACATCCAAGTATCCCTTCCTGAGCTCAACTGCTGCTCTTTCGAGTGTTACGCCGATGAGTTTGAGGATGCTACCTGGCAGAATTTGGTCCAAGCCCCGGTGCGCGCTGTTCTGGACAAGGACGGCCTTGCAAAGCCTTTCTCGGACCCCTGGGGCCGCAGCTTCTCGCAGGCTGGACGGCCAGCACTTGCCACACTTGCAGATCGCCTCTACTTTCAGGCTCGGGTCCCCACGGATCAGCTCGACAAGCTGCTGGTGCTCAGTGGGCACAACCATGTGTATGTGACCCCCAGGAAAATGGACCGGACCATTGTGCAGGCCTACTCCATTGTCTGGTTGGGGGCCTCGAGAGCAGATGCACTGCACGCCTCGCTCCAGGTACCAGGCCAATTAGGCATCGCCCGGGCCAAAGCCAAGTTTGGGCTCCGCATACCCGCCGCCCGGTTCACAGACGTCTTTGCTCAGCTCCGTCCCGGTCAGATCATCCCTAATAAGGTAGCAGTCAGCCAGCTGTACCGCATCGGCCCCCTCCCGCAGGAGGTGGGCAATGAAGCTCTGGTCGAATGGGCCACGCAGGCAGGCTGGCAGATCCGTGTCATCAAAAGCCTAGGCGCACGGCATTGGCTCATAGGGGCAGCAGCTCCTCCGCCTACAATCTACCCCGCCTTCAACGGCCAGACCATCTTGATTTCGGCGGTTGGCGACAGACATTCCGAGCCACCGGTTGTGCAGTCCGGCTCCTTGCCGCAGCGATCCAGCCCTCTGCCTGCCAAGGAGACACAGCGAAAGGGCGAGGACCCCTGGCTCATCAATGATCCCTGGAGCCGTGCAGTCTCCAACTCCATCGCAGGTGGCAGCTTCTCTAGCCGTGCCTCCATGGCCTCAACTGAGACACCGGCCCGCAACCTCGCTGGCCCGACGGAGCAGCGATTTAAAGCCCAGGACAGCCGCCTCCTTGCACTTGAAACCGGTCTTGAGAATCTTCGCCTCAAGCAGGAAGCCCAACATGGCGAGCTCCTCCAGCGCCAGGCAGAAGATAGAGAGACCTCTGCAAAGGCCTCCCTGCAACTTCGCGACCAGATGTGTATGATGAGCAATGAGTTCGCAGCCCAGCTTAAGCAATCGGTCGAATCGCTGCGCGGAGCCCAACAGCAGCAGCAGCAGCAGACACTTGCCAGTTTCGAGGAGCTGAAGTGCTTGATGATGTCATGCTGCGACACACGTGACAGCTCGAAGAAGGCCAAAACCGGACAGGAAGAGGAGCTGTGACTCCCAGCCGTGGTCGTTTTGGCATCAAGTTTTTTCTGGGGTTCAAGGGGCCTCTTGCAGAGGACGTTGGGAGTTTCCTCCGTATGCCAACTGGCCCTCTCGGACAACCGAAGAGTTGCCCGTTGCAGTTTCATTGTTTTCGAGTTTCTTGCTTCCACAGACCTTCTGCACCACGACTGCCCGCAGCCGCAGCTGTGCCACTACCACGTGTCGCGGTGTGCTACACCTCCTGGGCAAACGCCCTCTCATGCTGAGGACCACAACTTCCATTCTGGACACCGGTTTGGTGAGGCCTCCCACCCAGGCCCCGGTGCAGCTCCTCCGCAAAGCTCTCCGCGAACGGGGCGCTCTCCATACCAGTGCCCGCGTTTGACAACTGTTCCCGCTGCCCCCCCTGCCCCAACCCGTGTGCTTTCCCGCTCCAACAGCGGACGCCCCTGCCACCAGGCATCACTGCGCTCTTTCTTCCGGTCATCGGGCCCGCCACTGGCTCCAGGTGACGCAACGCCTCCCTCCACTGAACCGGAGCACCAGGCCGCACCGCCGTCGGATGACACTACCTTCCGCCTGTCAGTGGTGAACCCCACCAGCATCTTGCACAAGGAGGCAGCCCTCCTGCAACTGCGGTGCCATGTCTACCTCCTCTCGGAGACCTCTGCCGTTGAGGAAGCACAAACCATTGTCAGCCAGCGGTTGCGCGCTGCCCGCCTTACCTGGGTGTGGGGCAAACCTGTGGCCCCGCACTACCGAGAGGGCGCATCTCAACCTTCTCTGCGTGGCCATGCTGCCGGAGTCGCCTTGGCCTCCGTTTTCCCTGCAAGGGCCCCTTTCCAGGCCATGCACGGCCCTGCGTTTGACTCACAACGACTGGTTGTCGGTCATGTTCGCCTTGGCCCTCTTCATGCACGGGTCGTTGTTGTCTATGGTTGGCCTGCAAACCATTCTGCGGCAGCCGCACGCAATCAACAACTGTTTCAAGAAGTGCTGGCCCTTATACAGGAATCGGACCTCCCAACTCTTGTTGGAGGTGACTTCAACACTGATGTGACCTGTCTCCCGGTGTGGGAAGACTTTGTCAAACTGGGCTTTGCAGAGCTTTTCCACCTTTACAACCAGCGTTTTCAGCAAGAGCTACCGGCCACGTGCCGCGGCAGCACGTGCCACGACACCTTGCTGCTGCCGCCGTTGTTCCAACAGCTACTGCAACAGGCCACTGTCTCGACTGACTGCCACCTGTTCGACTCCCACGCCCCAGTTGTGCTCCACTTTGCCTTGCCACAGAGCAACCCGTGCCACCAGGTTTGGCGTAAACCTGCCAGCTGGAGTCATCTGCAGCCGGAACCGGCAACAGTTGAGCGTTTTTACTGCCAGGGCCGTGCCCCTTTGCAGGACCGCATGGCCAACTGCAGCAGCCGCGAAGATTTGGAGGCTCTCTTTCTTGATTGGGCCGAAAAAATCGAGGATTCAGTTGACCTGGCCGTGCAACAACAGCATTTTCGTGACCCCCTGCGTCACCCCACTTCTCGGCTGCCAAGGTCTGCCCGGGGCCGCTGCTCTTTTCGAGACGTCAAGTTGCAGCCCAGCCAAGTCGCATGCCCGGCTGCTCGCCCAGGCGACTATCAGCCCCCAGATGAGCCCATCTCCTTCAGGTCCCGCCACAAGGTCAAGCAGGTCCGCCGCCTCCAGGCATTTGGCCGACATCTCGCCCGTGTCCGGCGATTGGCTCCCACTGACCCCAACATGCACGCGCAGGTTGCCCTGTTGCACAAAGAGTGGCTGGCCGTACTGTCGGCCCGCGGGTACCCGCCTGACTTTCCCAGCTGGATTCTTCAGGTCGCTCATTTTGAGGCTTTCTATGGCCTCCCCGGATCGGCCTGTGCTTCACAAGCTCCCTCCATTGAATTGGTCTCGAGCGGGGATGCTTCCAGCCTTGCTACGGCCCTACAGCTCTTTCCACCTTCAGCGTGGCTCGACGATGTGCTGAGCTATGTACGCTACGAGTGCGAGGCTGTTATCTGCCAGGAACATGATGCACGCCGTAAGGTTGGACAGTACCGGCAGAAACTTGACTCCGCCTCCGGCCTGAAGGCCGGCTACCGTTCCGTGCGCCCTGCTGCAAAGCCTCCTTTTACTGTTGTCCCGGTGCACGAGCAGCAACATGCAGTTTTACACTGTTGTGCGGCCGATGGCTGGGGCCTTTATCGCCTCCCTGCCCCAGATTTCTTCCGCTCCGGGTGCCGGCCTGGGCAGGTGAATTCCCAGTTGAGATCGGCCACGTACAGGATGACGAGATTTTCGGCCCCCGTCTCTGGCTTCGGATCCCAGACGCGCCCTACCAGCACGAGTTTCCCTTGTCGCAGCATACTGATGCCACCACACCCAGGGAGCTCAGCCGGTGCTTCATTGAGTTTTGGAACCCAATTTGGAATCGGGACAAGGGCCAGGCACGTCAGGATCTCGATGCTTGGACTGATTTTCTGCAGTCTCTCCCTGCCCCCCCCGAGGGAGCTGAGAAATTGCACCTGCCCCTCGACAGCGTTGCCTTCTGGCGCCGCCGACTGCAGCTGCTCAAGCCGCATAGTGCCACGGGCTATTGTGGTTTTTCGAACCTTGAGCTCAAAAACCTGCCAGAGTCACCACTTGAGGACTTGGTTCAGCTATTTGCCCTCTGTCATCGGTTTGGCTGGCCGAGCCATCTTGCGAGTGCCACGGTCTCCGTCTTGGCCAAGGTGGCCACGCCGCAGGGCATGAGGCATGGAAGACCGATCACTGTCTTTGCCAATGTCTATAGGCTGTGGGCTTCGGGCGTCGCCACTGCCATACTCCAAAGCTGGTCGGACTGGCTGCCCCCTGGGCTCAAAGGCTGCATACCGGGGAGGTCGGTGCGAGACCTCTCTCTCGCCCTTGAGTGCCAAATAGAGCAGTGCCTGCTGGATCACCAGGCCTTCGCTGGGTTCTCCATCGACATAGTCAAATGCTTCAACCAGCTACCACGGCTCCCTCTGCGTTACCTTCTCGGCCACCTGCAGGTGCCAGAGTACATACTCTCGACCTGGTTCGATTTTCTTGACTCTTGCCAGCGCCGTCCGGTTGCAGTGTGCTGGGCAGCGCATTCGAGACTGCTCGTGTTTGGGGCTCAGCTTTCGTCCTATGTTGATAATTTCACCTGGACCGGCCACAGCCAAGACGCCATTGCGGAGGCCATCGTTGATGCACAGGATTTTTGCCGCTCTTTGCGGCTGCCCATTGATTGGGATAAGTCTTTCGCTTGGGCCACCACACGCACCTTGCGCCGCTGGCTCTCGGGTACGGCTCAAAACCTTGTGCCCCAGGGAGCAACTTTACGCATTGTGGACACTGCCAAAGATCTCGGAGTTGCCTTTAAGTTTCGGCGTACCAATGCCCTGGCTACGGCTCAGAAGAACATTGCTGAAGGCAAACGTAGGCTGCAACAGTTGCAACGCCGGAGTCTACCTTTGTTCGATGCCGCACGCATCATACAAACCAGCGTCTGGCCAACCGCCTTCTACGCACTAGAAGGCCGCCTGCTTGCGGAAGATTGCACCGCCCAACTGCGTACTGAAGCTAGCCGTGCTCTCATTGGGCAACGAGCTAGCGCCAGCCCCCTGTTGGCCCTCTCTGCCCTGACTGCCCGCGTCACAGACCCCGAGGTCTACTTGCTGTGTCAGGCCTTGCTTGCGCTTCAGCGACTGCTGGTCGTCGACCCCGCCCTGGCCCGACAGTGGTTGCGGTGCACAGTGCAACACTTTGAGCTGCCTCACCGTGCCATCGGCCCCGCCACGGCACTTGCCGGGCGTCTCCGCCGCAATGGCTGGCGCATCAGTACTGAAGGGATTGCCTCCGGCCCCGGCCACATCAAGTTTGACCTCCGGCACGATCGGCCAAAGACCATACGCGCCGCCGTGCGGGCCGCCTGGCTACACCAGCTCCCGGAGAAACTTCAGGATCGCAACGGCATGCGCTTTGCAGGGGTTCCTGTGCCGGAAATTACCGATCGGGTGCTATCGCGGTTTAATCACGGACTGCAGGTGCATCTTGCGCAGACCATCGTCGGGGCGTACATGTCCAATGCCGCCCGTTCCCAGTGGGACCCACTGCAAGCTCCCACCTGCAGCCTCTGCGGCGGTCTTGACCATAAGGCTCACCGCATACTGGATTGTCCAGCTACAGTCGAGCTGAGGGCTCTCTACGCCCCGCTTTTGAACTGGGTATTGGCTGAGCAGCCCCACTGGATCCATTGTCCGTTCCCGGTCGCCTCCCCACAGGAGCCATTCTTGCGCCTCTATTGGCGAAGCCGACGACTGCGTCCTCCGCCTCATCCTCAGCACCTCCAACAGTCCTTGCCGGAGCACTGCCATTTTTATACAGATGGCGCTTGCACACGCCCCAACATCCCCGCAGCGCGACATGCAGCTTGGGCTGTTGTTCTGTATGTTGGGTCGGAGGGTCGCACCTTGCACGAGGATGTGGACTTCTGGCAGCGTCACTCCGTAACACCACCGGGATGGCACATCGTCGCCCAAGGCGTCGTGCCAGGACAGCAGGACATCAACAGGGCTGAATACTGTGCAATTTCTCAGGCCCTGCAGCTGCAACAGTGCCTCGACCCCACCGCTGCAACAGTCTGGTCCGACTCAAACAATGCTCTGCGCGCTGTCCAGCAGCCTTCTGGCAGCTCCGTCCTCCCCAGCAAGCGCCACTTCGCCGAGGATTTGGTGCCTGATGACTTGGATCGCCTGCGACAAGGCACACAGCTCTGCAAGGTCCAGGCCCATCAATCTCTTCACGACCTTGACGTCAATGACGAAACTGCGGCCGCCCGTGCCGCCCTCGGCAATGCTATTGCTGATGAGGCCGCCAAGGCTGCTCTTCGGGCCGACTTACCCATTTCTGAGGAGACCTGTGCATCGGTTGCCAGCTGGCTGCACGAGCAGGAGGACAAGTTTGGGTTGTACTGCCGCTATCTTGAGCAACTGACCAAGCTTGTCGTGCCCGCAAAGCGCCAAGCAGCAGCTACGCTGCTCGAGGACCCTCCTCCCGAGGGTTCCACCGAACCAGGGCCGAGGTGGATCGCACTGCAACCCCCAGCGGACAGGTGCACAGTGACAGGACCGGCCCTTCCGGCCCCGCAATTTGTTCCTGGCGACTGGCCACCGTGGTATGTGAAAGCTGTCAGCAATTGGGTCGGCGCTCTGTTGTGGCCGCCTCAACTGCTGAACAGTCACCGCCACTCAGGGATTACCTATCTTGAGCTCCTCGTTAACTTCGTAGTCTGTACAGGGCAGTTGCCGCCAGTACGGACCACGGAATCAACAGGACCAGCATGGGTTAACTTGTGCGAGCCGGCGGGAGTTCTGCTACCAGTGATCGTGCGGGAGCTCACAGTACAGTTTGTCAACAGTATCAACAGTATGAGCAAGCGACTTGAGCTGGGACTGTGGCCTAGCCCTCGACACCACCGACTACACTCACTTGACTTTTATGGAAGCTGCGACGGCCGAAAAGGTCTCCTTTATCGGCCTCACCTGGAAAAGCTCAACGAGACTCAGGAGGCGCTCTCCAGACTTTTGCTGGCGGACAATCCAGGTGAAACGTTGCGCGAGCTTGCATGGCATGCTGATGTGTAGTGTAGTTTATGACCGGCGACCCAACACGGGCAGCTGTGGACGTTCTGAGATCGCTGCGGACGAGTGGGAGATGCGGGACCGCCTCTTAGGCCAGCCCGCGCTCTCCCCCTCATAACCAGGGAAAGGTTTAGGGTTTAAGTTTAGGCTTTTTTCGTAAGCCCGTCGGCTCTTCCTATCATTGAGAAGCGAAGCCGAAATGCCGGCTCTTCCTAACATTGAGACGCAGAAGTCGCAAAGTGCGGCAACTTGGGCTTTTAGGTTAGGGCTTTTAGTTTCGGGTTAGGGTTTTTAGTTAGGGTTTTTAGTTCCGGGTGAGGGTTTTTAGTTTCGGGTTAGAACAACCATCCCAGAACTGGGAGCGGACAACGAGGAACACGACTGTTTAACAGTCAAAGCATTGCGATGGCATCAGAAGTGCGCGTGTTAGGGTTTTTCGTTTCGGGTTAGGGTTTTTAGTTTAGGAGAAAGATGAGAGGAGAGAAGAAAGACATTTCGGCTCAAACATACAATACATATAATATACAAATTTATTATATCTATCGTTTTTTACACCTTTAACAATTCGTGGCGTAAATAACCTCTTTTATCATCGTTCTCTAAATAGTAATACCTTTGACCTAATTTCCTATCTATTCGTTTCACTTTCTGTGGGGTTCTCACCCAATGTGAAGTCCGTTCCTTTTCGCTAATGCTTTTTTTGCGCATTATTTTAACACTATCACCCACCTCTATTTCGGGGTATGTTCTATTGCGTTTTGCCTGTAAAGATATATTCAATTTAACTTCAAATTCATTTTTCTTCTTCCTTGCTTCTAATGGGGTCATTTTAGTCGCAGACGAAACCATATTATTATTATATGTTAATAATATCTCCAAATTATAATCTATCCACTGGATATTTTCCTTACCCTTTTTTTCATCTGCTTCAACCCGCTTAAACAGCATATCTTTATATGTTCTTATAAAACGCTCCGCAAACGCTGGATGACCTCGTGTTCTATGTATCTCAATTTTCTCACCTTCTAAATATTCTATAACGGTTTTACTATACAAACTCCCTTCCTCATCACTGTAAAACATCTTCGGTTTATCGCCCATTTTTCGTAGTCCTTCCATTATTCCCGCTAATACATCTGGTGGTTCTTTACTCTTAATAGGTATAACAGTAGCATATTTACTGAAAATATCAATTAAAACTAATCCTATTCTAAATTTTTGGTTTTCTAAATCTTTTTTACTAATAAAGAATAAATCCACCTGATATTCAAAATGGGCGTGAGGTGCTACAAAACTATTCTCGCCACGCGGTTTGCGCTTTTCTTCAACATTCTTTCTAAAAAAACTCCTCAACGTCCTCTTTTGTAATTGTAGCATCTTTCTTCTTAGCATCTTTCAGCGTAGTCGCCCTACTCCCAAAACCCGAGCGGTCATAATAAATACTACTTATAATATCTTGTTTAGATGTCATTATAATAAACAAGATATTATTTTTCTTCTAACTGTTTTAAGTAGTTTTGGTGTCTTTGTGATTTGAAATGTTCTGCCTTATGATTGTGAGTGTATCTACCACCGCAGTCGCAGTTGTGTTTTTCGTTTCGTTTTGCGTTCAGTTGTTCTTTGTTGTCCTCCCTGTATTGCTTTTGGTATTGAGCTATTCTGTCCTTATTTGCTTCTCTGTATGCCTTTGCTATTTCTGGATGTTCGGCATGATATTGCTTCTTTCTTATACTTTCATGTTCCTTATTTTGGTCATAGTATTCTTTGTCCGTTCTTCCTGCTATAACTTTATTCACACACTTGTTGGTTTGAATATGATGCCCTTCTCTCCTATGTAATTCCATTTGATTATTACATGGGTATTCTTCAATCAGTTCTATTTTGCAGTTCTCTACACCAAACTCTTCAAACAAACGGTTGCAACTTCTATAACTCTCTTTACCTTTTGTGGAATGTTGCGTAAACATATACCTGTGCCTCGCCATTCTTTGGCTCAGCTCCTCACAGGTAGAACCAACATAGCACTTGTTATACCCTACATCAACTATCTTATAGATTTTGCCCTTTTGATACTTTTGACTCATATCCCTATATATCCTAAACTATCTTTTCTTTAAACCTTTTAATGCACTGATACATTGCAGAAAAAGCAATACGCACAACAATTATCTAAATGATGTCCGTAATCATTACATAAACGCTGAGCAGTGAAGTTGCTACATAACCTGCCTTGCTTGGTTTCAAAATTGAACGATGTGTTGCATTTCTCGCATCTGCTCTTAAACATTTTCAAACACCATTCCGGTGTTATGTATGTTTCTTCGTTTATCTCTCTCTTGGCCTTCCGGTCTTGTAGTTTGTAATTATCCACCTTGTTTTTGAAATATCTCATAATCATGTTTTTAGACATTTGTTTCTCATAGTCGTTATTCTTGTAAAACTTCACTTGTTTGAAATCAACACACCTTGTTATTGCGCACCACAACCACTCCCTACTTGCTATTGGTAAGTCGTGTTCGTGTATGGTTATGCTTCCCTTGACACTTGCCCCTTGACTTGAATGACAAGTTGCACAATATGAGTAAATGAAGTTGGCATCTACGAGAGGTTCAATTAACATGAACTCATCTTCTTCATTCGCTATATTTTGTAAAGTTATTTGCGCTCCGAGTTCATCTTGCTGTATGCTCGTAATTCTATACCGTAGATTTACATTTACCCTTGGTTGTTTAATCCATTTTCTGGCAATGACTATTTCGCCCGCTTCGTATTTACTTTTCTTGTTTAACCTGTTTCTAATCTCATTCGCTACATTTCGGCATCTTATGTTAGTATAGGCAATGTTGTGCTCCGATGCCATGATGTCGTCAGTCGTTTCAAAATATTTGGGTATAATCTCTTCAAATGGCAACTTCTTTTCCCAGATGTCCTCATACATGTTATTAACTATTTCCCTGTTTCTATCTCCCTCTTCGCTGTCCTTCGCTCCTACTCTCTTACAAACGGTCAGGAAGATGTTGTATTTAAATATTATATCCAAGCAGTTATCAATATATGTTGCTGGGTTCTGGCAGTTCGTCATTACTTCCACTCCTTGTAATTGCTTAACATCGCCTGTCGCTACTACGATTTTATCGGGGTTATTCTTAATAAACTGTCTGACTTTATCTAAAACATACAGGTTTGACATATAGATTTCATCAAAAACGATTATGTCATAATTGCTGTAATCAAACTGTGGCAACTTTTCTCCCACATCTTCATGAACTGCGATGCTGAAGAACTTATTATATGTTGTCGCTTCTACTTCCTTTTCCTGTAAAAGTCGGTTGGTCGGAACTACTAACAAAACATTCTTACCCATTTTTTGGAAATACTCGCCTATATAACTCTTGCCACTACCTGCAAAACGAGCACGGATTAAACAAGGATTTCGTTTTATTATTTGTTGGCATATGGGGCGAGTATCCCACTCGTCCTCAACTTCAACTTTGATATTACTAATTTTCGGGATTTCCGGCACTTCATTAAACTTGTATGTGTATAACTGCGTAGGCAGTGTAATTGTTTTCTTCTCTTCCAGTCTCCAAGTGCCGATGTCAGTTCCAAATTTAAGCAGTCCTTCTCTCCACACACGACAAAAATTGTATCCATACACCTTATCCACATCGTCTTCGTGTATCGTCAAGCAATCTGTTTTAACACTATACACTTTAATGTTGTTATCGGATAATGTCTTGTATGCTTCATACATCTTAAAATTATGGTATTGTAATAACAACTCCTTGATATACATAAAACCATTTATTAAAGTCTTCTTTTCGGACACACTTAACACATAATATTTAGTTCCTTCTGTCTCCTTTGTTTCATACTCGTCTTCATCCACTTCGTTAAGTTCTGTCTGACACTCGCTTATAGTATAAACTTTTCCACCGTAAATGCTTTGATAATAACACGCCTCCTTCAAGGAAGTAAAGGTGCTACTTCGCTGACTTGTGTTATGGGATTTCTCCAACATTCCGACGCTGATGTTCCATAATTTCTTTTGCGTCTGCTTGTTGAAGTCTTCGTCGTCCGTCATTTTGGTTGCATACAGTTCATCTATCAACTTTTTATAATCCACCTTGTAAATATTGCTCGGTTGCTTATACCATAGTATTTTAAGTTTAACATTGTGTTTCAGCAGTTTCTTCAAAAACTTGCCATAAACCAAGCAATACTTCTTATTGAAAAAGATGTTTCCTTCATACACCTCTACAATGTATAATGTCAGGTTGTTAAACTGGTCTGTGCTACAATCCTCATCAAAGGGTCTGAATATGTCAAACTGTGTAAATTTCGGGATGTATTTTATACTCCCTCCCGCGTGTGTAAATGCTTTGTTAATACCTATTTCTTTTATCTTCTTCATCGGCACATCTTTATAAAACTTGCCAACTGGAACTATTGTTTTACACTCTTTAAGGATTTGTATATCTACCTCGTTATAATAGGACAAATGATTCTCTTTAAACAACTCTTTTTGTAAGTTAAACATGATTGTAGTGATTTTGTTATACACTTCCTCATTATCGGTGATTACATCTTCATCAACTCGTTCTTGTGATAAAGACTGTGAGACAATGTTGTATTTAATGTATTTCTTCAACTTTTTGTAGTAAAACTTACATAAGATATTCGTAATCCGCCCCGCTTGATAGTTAATGTGTGGTTTGTATCCTGCTTCGTTGAGTTGATGGAAGACCTTGACTAAATCATTATCCGAATGTATCAGGGCATATTCTTCCTTATCGGTCATAGTCAGCAGTTCATCTACATTATCAAACATCTTATATTCAATTGGTTCTGTTCTATCGGTGATGTAGAACTTGCTTGTTGTAAAGGCATTGTATTTATCCTTTGGTTGAATTTGCCTTAATGTTTCTAAATCGTGGTTTAACAAATATATATGATTGTTTTTAACAAGTCCTCTGAATATTTTTACTCGCCCCTTCTCGTAA